TCCATGAATTCGGGACAAGTTGCCAGATACCTAGTTGGTATCCGTCCAATATTCTCTCCACGGCCGGATGGAGAGGGAAGCGTAGACCAGCCTAGAGGACCGCCTCGTAGAAGCCAAATGCTTGGTCGTTATAGCTGGCCAAGGTCGGCCAGGTTATCGTATCATCCTTGTTGGGAATGGACAAGGAAAAGCCTTGACCCATTACGGTCTTGCGCTTGAAATTGGCAAGACCGGATGTCATAGAAGCCCGCTTACTTTGTGGGACATGGTGATAGTAGGGGGCGTGTTCCAAGCGCCTAGAAGCACTCGACTCCGCCCAGCCTTCTCCCTTTTCCACTGACAAGGATTCCCTTGCAGTGCTTATCTTTTCTCTGGCCTCCTCTGAAGTAACGGAGGCATTTTTAGAAGATGACGAGGCCGAATCGTCATCAGAGCTCTCCCCAGAGCTAGGGGACTGCCGGCTGGGGCAAGCAGGGTCCTCCCCTAGACTCTCCTGGAACGCTTGTTTTGAAGGCTCGGCCTGGTATTGACTGTCGGCTTCCCGCAGTATGGTATCACTGGGGTGCCGCTTGAAGGAGGGGAAGAGTAATAAGTTGGAGTTTGGGGAAGGTCAGAAGAAGGGTTTGGAGGGTTCTCAGAAATCTCACTAGCAGGCACCCTAATGGAGCCATCAAGAGTTGACAGTCTCGTTGTTCGAATGGTAAAAGGAACCATCTGCTCTATATCTCCTCGTTGTTTTACACACATGCACAATTTCAAGATAGTAACACGTGGCAGGCAGATTAGGCCCCCTGGAAATAGCGGCTTTCAAGGCCCAAATCCCAAGGGCCCTGCAAAAGCGGCGTGCCATTTCCTAGGGCACAAAACCCTAGAAGGGGCACACGTTCCTAGAGCCCTATAAATAGGGAACATTCCCCTCATTTATGGAGGTAGAATTTTAAGGAAAACTTTTATGACCTAACCTTGATTGAAGACCAATCATTGTCAGAACTGTCACTCTCAAGAAACAGTACACTTGAGCTTGGAATCCAAGCAGATAACTTTATTTCCGCACGTTTTACTCCGAATACTTACTAACTTAATGTTCGGAGGCGGACCACCGTCCATCCGGCGGTCCGTTTGCTTTGCAGGTACATGCGCCCTTTGCTGAATCCAGTCTTAGTGTTGTAACTCTCCCAAGGGACAAAAACTCCCGAAACACAAAGAATTAAATAATCGAAAGAGAGATTTGGGACCAAACCCTCAGAAATTAAACCTTTCATGTCTAGGGAGAAGGCAACTTCGAATATGGCTAGGTGTATCTCAGTCTAATGAATGCGGAATTTTTATATTTGAGAGAAGGCTAGTTTAGAAAAAAGAGAGAGAGAGTAATCAGGAAAATCTTGATGAGAGTTGGTGAATGAAAACGGGGTTTTTAGAAGACTATTTATAGAGAAAATCAGCCAAAAAGATAAAAAAATCAAAACAGAATTCTAACGCGTAAAACGGATGTTAGCGCCAGATGCTGACATTAGCGCTAATGCTAGCGCCAGGCGCCAAGCTAATCGTCAAGCGCTAATGCTGGCGTTTAGCGCTAACTAAGTTTTTGACGCGTTTTCTTAAAATCAGATAGAAATTGTCGTACGGGAGGATAAAATTGTATTTTCCTCAAAAACATTCTTTTGTTCTAATTAAAACTCTAAAAAGTCAACAAAAGTCAATTTATCAATGCTAATTAAATTAGGAATGAAAAGAACCTTCTAGAAGAATCTAGAAGACTTAAACCATTCCTAATTGCATTAGAAATGATAAATCTATATTAGGTCCTCCTCTAGATCATTGGGCCGCATGTAAGGCTCAAACCAAGCCCAGTTCGGTAACTTGGCCATAACTTCCTCAATATTCATCGGAATTGGGCTTATAATATATCGTCGGAAAGCTCTTTTCAAGCCCTACACTACTATTGGACCCATATCATGGATCAACCGAACTGCATTGGCTGTTTTCTTAAAATAGTTTTTCAAAATCAGAGAGAAGATAAAAGAAATTAAAACTATCCGCAATACTAAACTTTCCACACTTTCACTTCATTCGATTATGATTCGACGTGAAAGGTACTTATCACTTGGTTTTGTTTTGGGGAGACACAAATGGGTGTCTAAAAGTACGTTCTTGTTAATCTGACATTGCTAAAGATGTCCAGAACACAAATCATTCCTATGATTTGAACTTTGTGAGTTTTCATGTTAGGGAAATGTTTGTTTATAATCAAGCATTCTTGACTCATGGTTTAGACAACTAGCCATTCCATTCAAATAAATTCTCAACTATTGCTCTTTACTTTGAATGTGAGTCTTTCCGTGTGTAAACGGATTATTTGCTAATTATGGAACATAATAATAATTTATTTGTTCCAGCCTTAGCTTAAAAGGTATTTAAACAAAGCATACGATCTTACAACTGATGTAGCTCTACTTGCTTCATTCTAAGCTTGTAAGTTAATAACTTATCTTATATTCAATAGTTTGAGGTCACTTTCCAAGTGTAACTCTCAAGAGGTATCTGATACTTGTGAAGATAATAACTTAATAAGTTCATTAGCATAACATGAACTCTTTAGCAGAAATGGAAACTAATTCCTTGTCTTTGTTCCTCGTTCTATAAATCTTATCATACTTTATCTCATAATCTTTCAGAATTATTTTTTTAAGAGTCTTTGACTTTTATACTTTGTTAGGCATAATTAAGAATGTAATGCGCCGTATTACAAAGTTTCATGCGTATAAAGCGAAAAGATATGCTGGTTGTCAAGCATTGACAATTTTGAGTTTCCAACTCAATACTTCATGTTTGTCAAAACTATCTAGTGTTTTGAATACATGATGTCCAACCGTCCTTTCGGACTTATAAAAGTCATTTATGAGAATTGTATTTTTAGAATTTCCTTTCTTTTCTTTGAGAACCATTCTCAATGATTTCCTTTACCAATCATGGAAAACAATATAGTTTAATTTGGAATTCTACAAATATAAGTGCAAAGTATAACCATTTATCAAGTAAATAACATAATAAGTTTGAAATTTTAAACATTCATGCAAATTCAATCTTATTAAGCGTCTTATCCACGCATTAAATTTGTCCCCATGTGGTGAGAATAAGACGATTCCAAGATCCAAAGAAACAAAGAGTGGTTAAGAATGCTTTGCTTGTCTTAACACTCAATCTCCTAAGGTAAGCAACGATTTGCTAATGGATCCAAGCCATTCTTGGTTGGATAAATCGTCGCATCTAATTCTCTCTCAATAATTTATCCACTTTTCCACGACATGTTAGGACTCCATCACTCATACCGCTGAGTATAACCAAAACCAACTTGCAAACCCGGTATGCGTCATGAATCCTAGGGAGAAATAGTGATGCCTCGCTTTGGCGTAGCCCATCACTTCTCTCAATAGGTCGATAAGTGTTGTTTTGGAATGGAAATTTCACTCAATATTTTAGGGACCTAGGGTTTCTATATTGGTTGATTTAAGTAATTAATCATCACAACATTTGAAATCCTAAACATGCATCTAACATATATTCATATATAAATATTCATAAATATATATAGAGAACATAAATAAAGATGCATCTGGTAACTAGCATGACCCCTGGAATCTTCAAGTCTTCAAGGGACGGCTTTTGCAACTTCATGGCTTCATCTTCCAAGAACCTCCGCCTTCAAGACATGATCATAATTATGCAAATACTAGTATCTACGATTAGGACTTATCTAAATATTAAAGTGCAAAAATACTCAACAGTTCGCAGACCGTATTTAGATTTACAAAAAAACATCACGGATCGCAGTCCGTATTTTCTATCATAATCGGGCCCCACTATTTGTCATTTTATAAAACCTGTGAGAGAATATACAATTCGTTCTTCCATTCACTATTTGTGAATGGCCCATGAATTTTACAACTGTTTCGGGGGTTTTTATCCCTCGGGAGAGTTACAACACCGAAAGTGGATTCAACAATGGATGCCTGTACCTGCAAAGCAAACGGACCGCCGAATGGTCAGTGGTCCGCCTCTGAAGATTAAGTTAGTAAACGTTCGGTAATAAAACGTGCGGAAGTAAAGTTATCTGCTTGGATTCCAAGCTCAGGTAAAGTGTTGTCTGTTCTTTGAAAATGACAACTCTATAGTAAGTGACGTATTGTCTCGTAGTGCATGAATATTCTCAATCTTTTTCTGTGTATGTATTTCTGTGTCCTGTCAGAAATGTAAGAATGTCCCTATTTATAGGGTCCTTTTGGAAAGTGTGCCCTCCCTAGGATCTGGTGACCTAGGGAATAGGGCACGCCGTTTTTTAAGGGCCCCTTGGGATTTGGGCCTTGAAAGCCGCCATTCCCAAGGGGCAATATCAGCGTGACACGTGTCACCATCTGGAAGGTCCAAGTAGGTGCTCCTTCCAGTGACAGGTGTCATGCTCTGATTGGGCCACTTGGCAAGGTATAAAATACCCAAATCATTTGCCCCTCACAGGGGTCACGTGTATTGCACGTGGCACCTGTGACAGGTGTCTTCATCTGACTGGCTGGATTTTCAAATTGTATTTTGGGGGGAAAAACTTAGGGTTTCCCCTTTCTATAAATAGGAAGGTTTGACTTCATTTTTGCTTTCACACCTTTGCGAATCTTGGAGAATCTCTGGACTTTTGACTCTCAAAGACTTTAAAAACCCGGACTTTTGCCAAGCATCCGAAACTCGGCCTTTCCTACCGACTGCTTCAGCCAACCAGGCGTCTCAAGTACCTTCTTTAAAGGTAACCGCATGCTCTTTTCTTTTATTTTTTCTTGTGGTTTTCGTTTATTTAAATGGTTTCCCAAACGTACACGGCACGGCCTAGGTTAGCGATCAGCCGGTCACCGGGGACGGCTGAATCTAGAACTAGGAGTGCCGAATGCTCGTTCGAGAACTTTCCTTTAAGTGCATCTCCAAATCCGACAGTGTCTGTGCATCTGCAGGACACAATGGCTCGAATAAAGCAAACAACAAGGAGATATAGGCCGGATGGTTCCTTTTACCATTCGAACAGTGAGACTCCAACTTCAGGCGGCTCCATTAGGGTGCCAGTTAGCAAAGTTTCTGAGCACCCCCCAAACCCCTCTTCTGACCTTCCCCCAACTCCAACTTATTACTCTCCCTCTTCCTCAAGAGGCACCCCCAGTGATTCTATACTGCGGGAACCCGACAGTCAGTACCAGGCCGAGCCTTCAGAACAGGCGCCTGAGGAGAGTCTAGGGGAGGACCCTGCTGGCCCTAGCCGGCAGTCCCTTAGCTCTGGGGAAGGTTCTGATGACGATTCGGCCTCGTCATCCTCTAATAGCGCCTCTGTTGAGTCAGAGGAGGTCCGAGCAAAAATAGATACTGCAAGGGAGTCCTTGTCAGTAGAAAAGGGGGAAGGCTGGGCGGAGCCGAGTGCTTCCAGGCGCTTGGAGTGCACCCCCAATTTTCACCATGTCCCGCAGAGCAAGCGGGCCTCCATGACATCCGGCCTTGCCAATTACAGGCGCAAGGTCGTAATGGGACATGGCTTCTCCTTATCCGTCCCCAACAAGGAGGATACAATAACCTGGCCCTCCCTGGCCAGTTATAAGGACAAAGCCTTCGGCTGCTATGAGGCGGTCCTTCAGGCTGGCTTATGCTTCCCTCTCCATCCGGCCATGGAGAGGATACTGGATGCATACCAACTGGGTATCTGGCAACTTGTCCCGAATTCATAGATAAATATCATCGGGTACGTTGCCGCATGTGAAATGCTGGAGGTGGATCCCAGCTTTGAGGCATTCGCCCACATGCACTATCTCAGCCGAGCGCCTGCCAAGGGCGGCGAAGGCTGGTACACCTTGACCACCTGCAAGGGGTACATGATGGTAGTCAGCAAAGAAAACAAATGGAAGGACTGGAGAACTAAGTTCTACATTGTCCATTCCCCTGAAAGCCGACTGAACCAAAAATACAATCGGTGGAACAAGGATCCGCCCCTTCTGGCTGGCAAGAGTGTCTTGCTCCCTCTCCCTAGGCGGGCCCAGGAGGAAATTTTTGACCGGGGTCTGTTTGCGGTGTCCGTTCGGACAAACGAGCATGGGGTGAAAATAGTCGTCCCCTAGAGCTACATTCCCCTTTACAAATGGCTAGAAGATGGGGTGTTCTTGGCCGCTTGTGGTCTAAGTTCTGAGATGCCGAGAGGTTGTCGGCCGTCTGTCTTTAAGTAAACTTAAAATTGTTTTCAGTGTATGCTTAATAAGCCTATCTCCCTCTTTTAAGTGCAGACAAAGCAACGGAAAAGCTCTCGGCAACAAAAAAAGCCGTCTGTCATCTCTGCAGCAAAGTACCGCACCAACGTCCTTAACAGGGCGAATGACGAGCAGAAAGCAGCCGGAACTCCCAAGGTAGCTGTTTATGATACTTGGAATATTTTTCAACAAAGGTTAAATTTTGTCCGCCTGCTTTTCTGACGCCTTTCTTTTCGTCCAAACAGAGTGGTTCTGTCAGGCCTTCTCCCCCCAAACAATCCTAACCGAAAATTCAAAAAATTGGGGCGGGTGATGTGAGTGCATCCGGCAAACACCGAAAACACATTGCTCAAAAGTCCAAGAGAGGGAACGACTCTACTCTCGAAGCTGGCAGGGAGGTCAGCAAACCGGATGCTATTCAGGCATCAAAGGGTGGCTTTAAGCAACCCAGCACTTTTGTCGGCTCAGCAGGAGAGAAGAGACGTCAGGGGAAGGAGAAGGAGGAAGAGGCCCAGCCGGACGGTATGGGCCGCATTTTTATTAAACTTCAATGCTTAATGTTGCTTCCTTGAACTTGACTAACTTATAATTTTGCAGCCCCCCCCCCCCCCCGCACAAAGGTCGATCGTCGTCTAGATGGCCAAGGAGATGCTACGGTCGCTTGATCCTGAGGACAGGGCGTCCGTAAGAGGAGTCGGCACCCTTAACTTGGATGCCATCTTGGGGAACCTCTGCGAGGTAAAAGAGTTAGCTAAATTTTCCATAAAATTTAACACATATCCGACTGGTTTTGACCATTCGGTCTTTTCTTATTTCCAGGCCATGTTGCGCGTCTAAGGGCTCAAACGGCCAATCCAGGAAAAATCAAAAGAGGTAACAGCCGCTAAAGCTCGAGCCGAGTCCGCCTTAGACCGAGCTCAATTTGAAATTGCTCAGAATGAGCTTCTGACCCTTGATATGATGTATTCCCAGGCGGACGCCAACCTGCAGGTGAAGAAGGACCTAGATTCGGCCTGCTCCAAAGTCAATGAACTTAAGGCCGAAGTTAAAGGCCTTAAGGAAAAACTTGAGCCTCTTCAAGAGGCCAAGAATGAGGCCGAGAGGGCCAAGGAGCGGGTGAGCTGCCTGGAGGGGCACCTGGCGAACCAGGAGCAGCAGCTGAAGGCCAAGTTCGAGTCCCGGGCTGAGGAGGAGAAACAGGCCCTTGTCCAACAAATGATGGAAAACTACGAATCCATCATGCGGGCGACATGGGAGGCGGTACAGCCGGGTGTTGATTTTGGCATCTGGAAATCCATGTTTGATCAGGAAAACGAGGATTACAATGCTGAACTCCTTCGCCGGGCTGAAGAGGAGGATGCGAATGGTGAAGAGGCCAACTCCTCTTCAGGATCCTCCGGGGATGAAGACGGGGAAGAGGATGGTGATGACAATGAAGAGCAGCCGGCAACTGATGATGCGACTGCCAATGCTGGCAATCCCTCTGCCCCTTAAAGCTTTTTAGTAGTTATGTTTGCGGCCGAATGGCCATTAATTTCATCTTCCGGCCTGCGTCCCGAGTATCCATGTATCTTTACCGACCGAGGGGTCGGGTGATTTGACAATTCCTCTGGCTTTGCCAGCTAACAATCTTACCCAATCGTCTGATGGCGATTGAGCCTTTTTAATTTAAAATCATTCGGCCATTGGCTGAAGTTATTCATATTGCTGTTCTTTAAATTTTTTCATTGCATGTTTTTTGGCTAAGTATTATAACCTGTTTAGCATGCGAATGTTCTTGCCCCTGGACTGATGTCGAGTGGTTTCGGTTGAGTGGATTGATTGGCTTAGAAATTATTGATACTTAGAAGAGTATACATGGTTTCTAAGTCAATCAATCACTATGGTGATTGCCCCAAACCACGCGACAGACGGCCATCAGGAGCGAATGAATAATTATTTTCATTCAGCCATTGGCTCAAGCGAAATACAGTATTTTTGACTTAGCAAATTTTTCTAAAAAGATATCCCTCGCCTGTTTTGTTCCAAGAACTAAAAGCAGGTGCATTCAGCCTTAGGCCTTGACGAGATAAGGTGCTAAGTTTTAACTTAGTCTTGATTTTTCTTTAGAATAATCCGCCTGTCTTGCCCCAAGAGCAAAGAACAGGCGCATTCGACCCACAAGTCTCTTTTTTAATCTACTAAGTGTTTTAGCTCGTTTTCTCGTAAGTAATAGTCCGCCTATTCTGCGGTCAGACAGAATCAGGCGCATCTGGCCAAAGGCCTCATTAGGTGACTTATAGATCAGTAAAAGTTTTCCGCCTATCTTGCATTAAAGCAAAAACAGGCGCATCCGGCCTAATGCCTCAATAGTTTCTACTTGTGAAATAGTGACCCCTTTTCCGACTGTGCTAGAACAGTTAGAAAATTCTTGGCCTCTTGGATTTCACTTTCGATTAAACCAAACGACTGCGAATGCTGCCTTAACATTCAGTAGGGCTGCTTGATGTATTTGTAGATCAATGTGCCACCCAAATGGGAGATGCTTCTCCTCGACGAATTTGCCCAAATGGGCGTCGCCGGTTATCTGACTCATTTTGGAGCAGACGGTCATACTCATATTAGAGCAGACTGTGACCATTCGGCCTCTATGCGTTTAACATAATGTAGTAATAATTTCGTAGGAACGAGTGCTCTAGAGTAGTCGGTTCCTTCATAAAGGTTGGGGCGTCTGTTATTGGGACAGACTTTACCCAAATACATTGGTCGTCTGTACTTTGTATAGGCGATATTAAAAATAAAAAGAAAAGTTGAAAAATGAAGGCATATTCTCATTAGCAAAGTTTGAAGTGACAAAAGTTGTGGTATTTACATTTGTACTTAGAAATGGTACTTTTTCAAGTTATCCACATTCCAAGTTCTAGGCAGCTACATGCCGTCTGGTTCTTCCAGGCGATAAGTGCTGTCTCTTACTTCCTCATATATTCGGTAGGGACCTTCCCAATTTGGGGTCAACTTTCCCTGCTCATTCGCCCTACCGATTGCCTCCTTTTTCCGTAGCACAAAGTCCCTCACTTTGAGAGGACGCTTGTGTACTCTTTTGTTGTAAGCCCGTGTCATTCTCATACAGTAAATCTCATGACGCAAGGTGTCATTGCCCCTTCGCTCTGGAAGTGAGTCCAATGCTAGCCGCATGGCCTCCCAATTAGCTTCTTCGTCACATAACATGACTCGAAGAGTCGGCTCATAGTGTTCAATGGGCAGGACAGCTTCTGCACCATACACCATGAGGAATGGGGTTTCTCCAGACGCCCCTTTAGCAGTCGTTCTGATGGACCAGAGGAGGTGTCGTAGTTCATCCGCCCAAAGGCCACCAGCCCGTTCAATTTTCTTTTTAATCTCGTCTGAGATTAGCTTATTGAAGGCTTCAACCTGGCCGTTTGCTTGAGGGCGGACGACTAATACAAAGAGGCTTGAGACCCCTTGCTCTCTCAGCCAAGTCTTGAGTTGAGGCGTCTCAAATTGAGGACCATTGTCAAAAACCATAGACATGGGCACCCCAAAACGAGTGATAATATTCCTCCAGATGAAGGAAATGACATCTTTTGTCTTAATGTTTTTTACCGCCTCCGTCTCTACCCACTTGGTAAAGTAATCCACAGCTACTAATATGTAGCGCTTGCCGCCTGGTGCCGCGGTGTAAGACCCAAGTATGTCCATGCCCCATTTGGCAAAGGGAATTGGGATGTGGATGGTCGTCAGGTCCGTGGCCGGACGATGGATGAGCTTGCCAAACTTTTGACACTTGTCACATTTTTTTACCATTTCCATAGCATCCGACTCCAGAGTTGGCCGGAAATAGAGCCGCCTGGCCTTGGCAGCTAAAGACCTGCCGCCTATGTGGGAGGCGCAGAAACCCGCATGCAAATCTTCGAGGACCTCTCTACCCTTTTCTGGGGTAACACACTTCAATAGGGGTTTCAAGAAACCAGCTTTGAAGAGTTCCCCTTGTCTCATCTCGAAGTTTGCCGCTTTCTTTTTTAGAACAGCCGCCTCCTGGGGTGAATCAGGTAGCGTGTCGTCTGCAAGATAAGCCCGGATGTTGTCCATCCAGGTAGAGCTTCAGTCGAGAATTCCAATGGGGTCTTCATTAGATATACTTATTTTTTCCATGAGCTCCCAGAAGACCAACCGAGGCGTTTCACAAGAGGCGGATGATGCTCCATCGTACTTATCTCCCTCAGGAGATTGACAGATAATCCCTGCACCACAGCCGTTCATAGTGGAGCTCCCATCCACATACACTTTCCAAACTTGGTCTGTATTGTCCAGTACAGTCGGCCTTGTCATTTCGACAATAAAGTCGGCGAATGCTTGCCCCTTTATTGCCTTCCTTGGTTCGAAAGTGATTTCTAATCCTTGCATTTCAATAGCCCATTTAAGCATTCGTCCAGAAGACTCCAAGGTTGTGAGTGGCCGTTTGATCGGTTGGTCAGTATAGACTTCTACCGCATGCGCCAAGAAGTAGGGTTTTAGCTTCTTGATGGCCATGTAAAGGGCAAGGCCGAATTTCTCAACCATGGGATACCGAAGCTTCGCGTTTCTCAGAACATAGCTAATGAAATACACCGAGAGATGAATGCCGTCTCTTTCAGCTAAGAGAACGGCACTGAGGGCGTGATCAGAGACGGCTAATTACATGAAGAGCTTCTCTTTGGGCAAAGGGCTGACAAGCCTTGGCAAAGAGTGCAAATGAGTTTTCAGCTTTTGAAAGGTCGCCTCTACATCATCCCCCCATTCAAAGTTGGTCTTCTTTTTGATTGCCTGGAAGAAGTAGAGACACTTGTTGCCTGACCGACTGAGGAATCTCCCCAAGGCCGCCAGACAACCTGTTAGCTTTTGCACTTCCTTCACAGTACAGGGCGACTGCACGTCGATTACCGCCTTAATTTTCTCAGGGTTGGCCTCTATTCCCCTTTGGTCAATCAAAAATCCGAGAAACTTCCCAAACTCAACGCCAAAGACACACTTTTTTGGGTTTAGCATGACCTTGTGCCGCCTGAGTGTGGAGAATGTTTCTCGGAGATCAGCAAGATGATCTGCCTGTTGTTTGGATTTGACTATCATGTCATCAATGTATGCCTCTACATTCCTTCTGATTTGATTAATGAAGACCGTATTAATCATTCGTTGGAAAGTAGCAGGCGCATTCTTCAAACCAAATGGCATCACCGTATAACAGAACAACCCCTGATCAGTGACGAATGCCGTCTTTTCTTGATCTTTTTTCCACAGGGGGATTTGATGGAAACCTGAATAGGAGTCCATAAAGCTCATCAAGGCATGTCCAGCTGTTGAGTCGACCAGACTGTCGATCTTGGGAAATGGATAACTATCCTTTGGACATGCCTTGTTGAGGTCTGTGTAGTCAACACACATCCGCCAAGTTCCATTCGGCTTTTTTTACTAACACAACGTTAGCTACCCATTCATGGAAATTGCACGGCCGAATGAACTTGGCATCCAGCAGCTTTTTTACTTCGGCAGCTGCCGCCTGACTTCTTTCCTCGCCATGGTTTCTTTTCTTTTGCCGGATGGGCTTCTTTTTAGGATCCACGGCGAGTTTGTGGACAGCAAGATCCAGGCTGATGTCTGGCATCTCCTCCACTTCAAAGGCAAAGATGTCTTTGAATTCTCTGAGGAGTTAATGAAGGCTTTTACCCAGCTTTGCAAGTGCAACCGTCCCCACCTTAACCGTCCGCTCTGGACGGCTGTCGTCCAGAGGGATATCGATGTGCTCACCAGCAGGCGGGGGACGGAGATCATCCGACCGTTCCCCGGTCAGTGATTGCTATTGTTTTTCTTTTTTGACCACCACCACCGGATCAGTCTTTCTTTTCTTTTCGGTTGGTGGGGCCGACTGTTCGTCCTCGACATCGTCGAGGTCGATCGTTTTCTTGCCCCGACCGGATGCTACGGCCACAGGCTTGACGTTCGAGAGGTAACACTCTCGAGTCGTCTTTTGGTCCCCATTAAGGAACCGATTGTTCCATCATCCTTCTCATACTTGAGTAGCATGAGTGCAGGGATGATGACAGCCTTACACTCGTTAAGAGTGGGACGGCCAAAGATGAGGTTGTAAGCTGTGAGCTCTTCAACCACGAGGAAACGGATGGTCATGTGCCGACCGTCTCCCCTGCTTCCTAGGCGGACAGGTAAGTCAATGCGTCCGAGTGGGTGCACAAGTCCTCCCCCAAACCCAACAAGGGTGTGGGAGACCTCCATCATGCTATCCAGTTTTTACTTGAGATTGGATAAGCATTTGAGGCTGATGAGGTCAGAGGAGCTTCCTGTGTCAATTAGAATTCGGCCAACCAGCTGGTTGGTGACCTTGCATTCAATGACAACAGGATCATCATGCGGCCGACGGACTTTGCCTCTGTCCTGTTCGGTAATGACAACTTTAGGGAAGGCAGATGTGCCTGCCGCATCTCCTTCCTCAACATAGTTGACCA